ATAATGGCTGTCTTCTTCCTGGCCCCGGCCCTTTTATCCCCTCTCTGACCTCAGCAGCCTGGTCCAATCAAAGCTGCCAGTGCTAGCCACAAGCCAACCAATCTAAAAAAGCCTCACTGGCTACCTGTGCTGAGCAGGGCTTTTCCCTCCCTCTCCAGGTGACCAGAGAATCTGCCTCCCAGGCACCAGGCTTTTGTCATGCAGACAAGGGAGGGAGATCCCCGCCCTCAGGAATTCAACACCAGCCTCCCATGCTGGCAGAGACAGATCTCTGGAGAGTGACACAGACGGTGGCCTTTCTGCCACAGTGGCCATCCTATGTTTCCCTCTGCCCGCCTTTGCTGCTGCTTGGGCCAGAAGGCTGCCCATGGTGCAAAGGGAAGGGGCAGCAGGGGGCTGGGGGGGCCCTTGGCCAATCAGCAGTGGGGGGGCCACCTTGAAAAGTCCATGAAAATAGCACCAAGTGCCACCAGTGGCCCCTGATTTGCCTCAGCACAACACCAGTGGCTCCTGGCTCTTGTTTCCTTGGTCTGAAACACTCAGATGCAGCCTGTGCTCATGGCTGGATCAGTCCAAACCCTGTGCACAGAGCAGGCCTCAGCACAGCGTTGCTCTTCCCTGAGGCCATCCCTGGGCACAGCACCGCCATGGATGGGCATCCAGCACCCTCCCCTCTCTCCGTGTGGCCGTTTCTGCTCTGGGCTGGAGCTGCTCAGGGCGCTGCTGGTGGCCCGGGAAGACAGGACCTGCTGCGCCTCTGATGGGGCAGATGGATGGGTTGCAAGCAAAGGAGCTGGGCAATAGGCTGCTGTCCAAGGTCCCTCCAGCCCCAGGCCCTGACTGTGCAGCAGGACCATAGCCTGAGAGGTGCTGAGCCCAGGCCCTGGCTTGACTGGTGCTGTCCCTCCTCCCTGGGCCCCTGCCCCTCACTCAGCTGGCTCTGCCCTGTCCTGTTGGCCCCCGCCGCTCCCCCCACTGCAGTTCCACTCCGGCCTGACCTGCAGCGCCGGGTCCTTCCTCTGTGGCCCCTCCGCGAGGTGGCAGTGAGCACCCCAGGGCACTGGCTTCTGCCCCCACTTGTGCTGACCCCTGCCAGTCTCCCACAGGCTCCCACTCCTACCGGTATTTCTACACGGGGGTGTCAGATCCCAGCCCGGACGTGCCCACCTTCACTGCTGTGGGCTACATGGACGACCAGAAAATTCTTCACTACGACAGCGAGACACGGAGACAAGAGCCACGTGGGGACTGGGCACAGGGGGCTGTTGGCCCAGACTTCTGCGACATTGAAACCACGAGCTTGCGGGGCTGGCAGCAGGGATTTGGAGTGAACCTGGGCACCCTGCGGCAGCGCTACAACCAGACTGATGGCGAGTGTGGGCAGGCAGGTGGGGGCTGGGGGGCGCTCAGGGACCCTAGGACTTAGGGGTAACTGCCAAGGGCATGGGGGGTGAGAAGTACATGGTGAGGAACCAGGAGGGCATTGCATTGTCTCACGTCTGGTGTGTGCCCCTGCCAGCCAGCTCCTCTCTGCTGTCACCTTGGGCAGGGGTCGGGTCAGGGCGGGGCAGGGCCACCTGCTCACTCTTCAGCCATGGGGGTCAAACGGCTGCAGAGGAAGCCCTCTCCCCACTCCCGTGCATCCAGTGTAAGTAGCATCCCTTGGCCTGTGCCCAGGAGACCAAGGCAGGCTCTGGTGCTTCCCTGGCCCGGCAGATCAGTGACTTGGCATCTGTTACACAGACACCCCTGGGCTGTCTGCCTCCTGGCAGCAGGAGCCCAGCCCTCGTCCCCAAGGTTCCCCAGGCTGATGCATGGAAGGAAACCTATCTGCCTGATAGTGGTGGGAATGGCTGTTATCTCTCCTGCCGTGGTCAGCGCACAGCTCCCCAGCTCATGCCCTCTCTTGCCACCCAGAGCTCCCTGAACCCTGCCCCGAGCATTTTGGTATCACTGACAGGTCAGGTGTGTTTGAGGTCATCCCTTGTGACCTGCAAACCCACTCTGCCTTCCTGGGAAGCGTCAGCCAGGGGCTGTTGCACCCTTGCTGCATGCTGCCAGGGCCCGTGTTGCCAGCTCTGACATTCAGCAGAGAGGGGGAAGGCGTGTGTCCCCTGGACAGAAGGCTGCAAGGGTCCCTGTCACCAGCTGGATCTCCTGGGCTGGGGCACAGGGATCTCACATGACTGGTGCTGTCAGCAAGGGCAAGGGTGGCAGCTACCGTTCCCAGGGCTCCCCCCTGCACCTCTGCCCAGCTCAACCCCCGTCCCACTGTGCCTGCTGCTCCCCGCCCTGGGCCTCTGCAGAGACAGCTCCGCTCCTTCTGAGAGCCCCTGGTGCTGCCCCCCGCCACAGCCTGGCAGGGGCGGAGGGCACAGGACACAGCCCAGCCTGCCCCAGGGGTAGGGCCCTGTGGGGATCTCGGCCCGGTCTGTGCTTTCACAGAGAAGGGGCCAGGCTGCAGCAGCAGCCACATCCAGAGCAGCCTTGTGTCTGGGCCAGGATGATGTGGCAGAGCCCTTGTGAAAAGCTGGGGGGGCCCCGGGCACCCCAGTGCAGGGACACAGGAGTGCAGCTGGCACTGGGACAGGTGGTTCGTCCTGCCATCCCCCCTCAAAGGTGCCCTGGGAAGGAGGGAGCCCAGATGGCACCACAGGGAAGCAGTGGGAGACGTCAGGGGCAGGAGCAGAGGCTGCCTCCTGATCCAGAGCTCCTTGTGGGGCTGGGGCTGCCTGGGACTGCCCACCCCACTGTGGGGCCCCCAGTGCCTCCGTCTAAGTGTCCTCTCCCCAATACCAGCTGCCGAGTCTGGCTGGAGCCCCCTGCCCTGCCTTTCCCAGGTCACACAGGGGAGGGAGCCTGCCTGGCCCTCTGCTCCCAGGAAAGGGAAGCACATCTCTGCCCACTGCAGACTTCTCCCCCCGTCCCACACCCTCCCTGCAGTCCTTTTGCCATGGGTGGGTGATTTCTCTTTGCCCTGCCTGTTCCCTGCATCCCTGCCATCTCCCACCCACCAGGGGTGCTTGCAGACAAAACATCCTCTGCAACCTGCGTCCCTGGGGCCACCAGCCACAAGCCCTTGGGCCCTGTGCTCTGGTGCTCATCCAGGGACACCGACCACCAGCCACCACACCTGGGGGGACTGAGGAAGCAGAATGAAGTCTGGCCTGTGGGCAAAATGGGGAGGGGGTGCAGAGGAAAGATGGAAGCACAACAGGCCAAGGGGTGGGAAGGAGCAGTGGGGGAAGCAGGTGGGGGGAGCAGGAGCTGCTTGTAGCACCAGGGGAGGTCCCAGGATGGGCCAGGAGGACAATGAAACAACTGATGTTTCCTAGAGAAGCTGGTGTGGGCGGGGAGGGGTGTGGAGGGGCAGGAGGGGACCAGGGCATGGGAGGGCAACAAGATGGCTACTCAGGACTGGGAAACCTTCTGCTCACTCACCTGTTCTGAGGCAGTCTGCCCAAAATCTCACCTGCCGTGACTCGTTGTAAAATAAACTGTTGTTAAAATCAGGAGACTACCCATTTTAATGCCCAATGCTAAGGGCAATAACACAACTCCGACCTTCCCTTATCATGTCCCATGACTCACAGATGTCATTTGAATTATTACAGTGCCTCACACCATGACCGTTGCCCAGAGTCTCACTGGGACTCTCACTCCCCATTGGGGCAGCCGGTCACTGTGCCCCTACACTGGCCAATCTTAACATCACTACAGACGCACAACAAACGGCCTCCAGCCCATCTAATACCGCAGGCATCTGTAGACTTACCTGGGCTTGGCCATTCCCCTCTCTGGGGTTGCACCCTTGAGTTAACCCATTTGCTGTACTTCAGGTCTCTCTCATGCCTCCTACTCAGCACACCCCCGGTGCAGCTCTTCAGGCCCTCCTAATCAGGCCCTACTCTATACCAACATGCACAGCGTTTTGGGTCATCCTTGCACATCCTACTCTATGCAGGCCATCTCCTGTTTTAATCGCTACACCCCAACACTGGGGCAAAGCGGGGCTCCGGTTTTCAGAGACATGCCTGGCCCTCACTTATGGGGCTCAGGTGTCCGGAGATGTGCCTAGCCCCCTCTTTCTGTCAGGGTCACATACCCAAGGGGCTCAGTTGTCCAGAGATGTGCCTAGCCCCCACTTTCTGTCAGGGTCACATACCCCATGGGGCTCAGGTGTCCAGAGATGTGCCTGGCCCTGACCTTGAGTAACTCACCAGGGTGTGGGGGCTGGGGTTTTAAGGCTCCCCTTTCCACCTTTCACTGGGAAGGTATCTGGCCTGGCATTTCTGGGGGATGGTCCTGCCATGGCCAGCCCACCAAGCCATCCTTCCCTGGCAGGCTGCAGTTTTCAGTCATACCCAGGACCAGGAGCCTCCTGCCATTCCCACAGCTCCTGCCCTTGCTGCCATGAGCAGAAGCTCAGTCAGGTGTTACTCCCTCAGCTTCCAGCAGCAGCTCTTCAGCTCCCTCCTTCAATCCTAGGGCCCTCCTGCAGTCGGGTGAGTGCCTCATTAGGGCTTGTTGGCACCCTGGTGACTGCTGTAATAGCCCTTAAAGTGGCAGGGACCGAG